GTTGGGTCAGACTTACACGTGGCGGTGTCGAAAAGTTGTATTCTTCAGGCATCGGGTTGTGTTTGGGTCGGGCTTACACGTTGTGGTGTCTTAAAGGAGTAATTTTCTGGCCTCGGGTTGTGTTTGGGTCGGGCTTACACGTTGTGGTGTCTTAAAGGAGTAATTTTTTGGCCTCGGGTTGTGTTTGGGTCGGGCTTACACATGATTTTGTCGAAAAGTTGTAATTTTCAGGCATCGGATTGTATTTGTGTCGGGCTTACACGTGGGGTTGTCGAAAAGGAGTAATTTTCTGGCCTACATGGAGGTGTTAAAAAATTTATATCCGGGCCATGCTTTTGGGCTTCAGGCTAGAATGCGGGAGGGAGTTACACATGAAATGGATGAAAAGTGTTGTCCGGGTCGTAGTATTGAGCTTCAGACTAGCGTTCGGTCCGGGCTTAAGTTTAAACATGGAGGTGATGTAAAGGAAAATTTGTGGGCCTGGCCTAGGCTTTTGCAGGCCCAACCCGGCTGCCGATGATGTTTGAGGAAAGTTAGTTGGAGCATAATGATCATTACCCTATTTTTCACCCAAAAAGAAAACACACATCGTCCTGCGAAGCCTAACAATATTCGTTGTAACATGTAGTAGTACGTATATTGCCGCAGCTGTTAACTAGCTCAACAGCCGAAATCCGTGCTAGAACTCGATCTTTGGGTGTGTGTGTGTTGATGTTCGATGGAGCAAGCATGCGTTCGTTCGGATGTTCAAGGAGGAGGGATGGTTAGGTACCCCGACCCAGCAGAGTAGCCGTGGGCAAGACGCCCGGTGTGTCATCGGGGTGGATGACCTTTGTTTTCGCCGGTGGCAACGTGCGAGTGGGCAAGGGTTCCTTTCTTCAACCATGAAGTAGCACGGCACCGGCCGATGGTCGGAAGGCGCCCCGTTTAGACGGTGCGCGCACACACACATGAGACATGACACGAGTAGGAGTAATTGACTTGGCTCAAGACTGAAGTAGTAAATCCTCAAAAGAAAAAGAAAAGACTGAAGTAGTACACTTTTTACTTGATCCGCTTGCGGTTTGCGGCGCCCACGGAGTGCGTGCGAGGTGCGGCACGGCACGGGTTCGCCTGACCCGCCCGCAGATCGACCCCTCCCTCCCTCCCAGCCAGGCTACCTCCCAGTCCCGGATTGGTGTGGGCTGGCAGGTGAGGCGGGGGGTAGGTGGGTCAACCCGACCCCCTCACACCACCACAGACGATGACAGGCGGGGCCCGTTCAAACCGCGGCCCCACCCCACCCGCCCCCAGTCTACCACCGTACCGCATCGCACCTCACCTACCCACCGCGGCGCAGCCACCACACCACACGCCCCCCTCCCC